CATTTCCTTCCCTCACATCTCTAGCTGTTTCAAAATTGATGACTAAAATGCTTAAAAATCCAACCATCTGATGATGCAGAATAGGAGGGAGAAAAGAGGAGTCTGGGTACCACAGTCTTCAAAAGAACTAAGAATAGTAACTTTTAAAAAAAGCCAATCTGAAGTAATCAGATTTGCTGTGCTGTGGAGGGACAGAAACCTGAGATCATAAAATCACAACTAGTGAAGTTGGGTCTTAACTGATTAAACATCCAGTTAATTCAACGGGCAATCACTACGGAAAAGCCAAGCAAGTTCAGGATCATGGTAAGTTGAAAGCTGCTCTTTTCTTATCTCAGAGACGCTGGCAGTCTGCCAGGATTTAAGAGCACAAGGTGACTGCAGCAAAGGTTTTGGAATTGAATCAGGACAGAAATCACAGGTATTGGGCCTAGCAGAAATTTTTTAAAGGATCAAAATGTAAAGGCAATAGAGACAGTGCTACAAGAACATCTGTAAATAAATGTAAATATTTCCATGCCTGATATCAGAGGGTTTGTGGGTATTCAGTCACCTTAGACTGAATCAGTTCCAGGGAAGAGTAAGTCAAGAAACTGATAAGATCCAGAAAAGAATGATGAAAATAATGTGGAACAGGCAACTTTATAAAAATTTTAGTACAGTTGGTATACAATATTATATATTAGTTATATTAGTTTCTGGTGTAAAATGTAGTAATTTAACATTTTTATCACTTTTGAGTTCCAAAGACTATCTAGCTAGTCTTTGTAAAATAATTATGGGCAGAGGTTGGTGTGCAGTTAAGTTTTTATGACCACCTATAATTGGTGGACAGAACTTGTGTATATCAAATATCCAATGCTGATCCAAATGATACTTTAAATAAAAGAAATTTGAATATTCCAAAGATAAAACACAGTAACCCGAACTTTCAGAGACATCAAGAGCATAAATTAGATACAGTCTTTCAGATTTGGGACATCATTTCCAATAAATATACAGGATGCTTCAGAAGTAATGCTTGCTTGAGTGTGGTTGGTAGTGTACGTGAATGTCTCACACGAAAAGAACAACAATTTGAACATATCACCTAAAATGTCATATGGTGTGCTTGAGCGTGCTATTGTCATGTTACAGAATTACATGCTTATCATTTTGTATAAAAGATTGTGTAATTAAAAAGGGGCATTATTTGCGTCAGACCTTGTATATGGTGGTAGTACTTTCATTTTTGCTTTCAAAATGCTAAGATACTCCAAAAACTAGCTTCTATACAAAAAATTACAATATATGAGTTTTTTTAATTTCTACGTTGACTAATGTAGTCTTGTTTTGAAACAAGATTCAAGCTTATTTCTAGGTCAGTAAGAATATGTATAGTAGTGTTATTTTAGGGTTCATAAAATTAATCAGTAGTCCATATAGTTTAATTGATGTTCCATCTATACATTTTATTGAAAATAGAATCATTAATTTGTGAGCCTTTTTTGTTGAATTGTCAGTGCAATAAATGTCTTTAATGAATTGAGACCAAGGCTGATCCTTTATTTCATTTATTGAAAATAAGCCTTATCTGAACAGAACACATGTCCTGCATTATTAGCATGGGTTACATTTAAGCTTTATTATGATTCTTGATTATTAACTCCAAGATGGTTAGGAAAATCTGACCTTAGCAAGAACATCACTTACATTTATACCAGCAGCTAAGTAAATATTATGCATTTTCAAACCATTGTTGCATTTGATTGCTCAGGATGTAATACTACAAAAAATATGAATTTTTTGTTCCCTAGAACTCTCATATCATAGATCACATATGCATGTATACATGTAAATATACATATGTGTATATCTTTTATATTTTAGCTATCTCTATATACATATACATATATGTGTGTATATATATATATATATATATGTATTCCTTCACACCAGGGCATATTATGAATAAACAGTCCAGTTTTGTGTGTGTGTATACATTGCATATGTGTGTCTTAGTTTATAACATAAAACTTCAGAAATTTGACCCAATTGCACATGAGTTTAGAGTTACACTGGTAAGGTAGTAATATCTTCTAAATTTTTTTATATTACTGTGACACGTTAAGCCCTTCCAAAGTACTAAGTGTGGTACGGAATATATACAGACAACATGATTAGGCAGTTACACAGCTTATATAAACAGTGAAGTTTCGTATTTGTATATATTTCCATCCTATACATATTATTCCATCTGGTAGCCTACCCTGAGGCTTCATTTTTATCATCCTACTTGTCCCATAAAGTGTCTTGAGATTTTTTATTGAAAGAAACAATGAAAATGCTAATTAGTTATATCTTTCATCATAATCTTTTTTTGATACGAAAAGATCCCTCTTTTTTGTGTGTTGCTGCTCTGTATTCTACTTCCAATGAATTTCATTGCCCCAAAGCTATCATTTTTAGGCTTCTAATATTGTTTCCTGTTCACAGGGCTTAATAACTACATTTTAATGGATTCTGTTTACCTCAGAGGCAGGCATTTTGGAGAATTCAGCTTGCATTGGGCAGTACTAAAAACTTCTCTGCGGCTTTGGAGTTTTTTTCTTCAGAAAATTAAAGTGGTTTAATCTTTTGACTGAAAGAGGAACTGAAATAATTCCTTTTTAAAATGAGGCACTTGGGATTTGAAGGAGATCACAAAAGAAGACAATCCTGAATGTATTTAAAATCATACAGAGTATTTAACACACATATTGTTTTAGTTCTTTCCATTTTTTTTTACCTGCTTTAAGAAAATGGCTATCTAACCAAGCCCTAGAAATGAAAGTTCTATTGTTCTAGTAAGGACAACCATGGAGCCTTAGCCAGGTGGCTTAACTGGTTGGAGCACTGTCCCATACACAAAAAGGTTGCAAGTTTGATCCCCAGTCAGGGCCCAGATGGGAGGCAACTGATTGATATTTCTCTGTCACAGGATGTTTCTGCTTCTCTCTCTATCTCTCTGTTTCCCCTTTCCCTGTCTCTCTGTCTCTGTCTCTCTCTCCCTTCCTCTCTTCCTCTTTCTCTAAAATCAAGTGGTATATCCTCAGGTGAGGATTAAAAAAAAAGAACCCTGGAGTTCAAGTTGGACAAGACTTTTACAATCTTCTTTTTAAAAATTATCTGCATTTCTCTGCTCCCTTAAGTCATGAAAAGCCTATCTAAATAATGATTCACACGATGCTAAATTCAATACCCAGAAAGGGCATTGAATTATTCATTTGCTCACTTAAACATGCTTTGCTCCTGTGCCCCTAATACCTATATAGACTGAGTCATCTCTACATAATGAGGATACTGATAGATTAAGATAGAGGAAGAAATCTGAGAAGGCTTAAATTTGGGTAAATATAAATAAGTGAATTTTTTTAAAAAAGTTGAACTTTGTTTCATGTATGATGCATTTATATGTGAATGAATATTTATCTCCTACTGCTCTTTATTTTGAAAGAGAGCCATCACTAACTGAGGAACAAGATTCAGAGAACAGTCATCATCTACAACAAACTTCCATCATCCAAACAAAAAGCGCACAGGGAAAGCACCATGCTAGGAAGCTGAGATACAAAGAAGAAAAATGTGTCATCACCACCTCTTTAATCCATGTGTGGCCAGCCAGACAAGATTAATACAAATGAACATTTTCTCCTTTCCTTTGTCTCCTGAATTCCCTTGCACTTTACCCATGTTGCTCTTTTACATCTACCATGACTACCTTGTCTAGTTATTACTACATAACTGGGTTATATCTCTGACACTAGACTGTGAGCCCCATGAGGGAAACAACTTGACATGGTTTCATCCAGATACAGTGCCTGGAAGCATGCCCCACAGAAGAGGACACATAACAAGTACCCGATGAAGGAATAAAGGAAATTTAAGGCAAATAACACACAGTGCCACATACCCGGGATCTTTGATCAGACGTCATATTAGGAAGGAGTTCTCTGGCCACCCAGTCCATGCTGTTTCCCAGCACACCACCTTCCTAACCACGCACTTTGTTTCATTTGCATAGCCTTTATTGCTGCCTTTTGTTATATTAAATATGAATTTATATTGAGTCTAATCCAATACTTTGTAAGCTCTTTGGGAGAAGGGAATTTGTTTTATCTATACAAAGAAGTAGTTAAATATTTGTTGTATGAGGAAATGAGTTCATAAGGAACAGTGATAAGTTTAATTTGAAATGAAATGGATTCAAGGCACTGACAAGCCATCCAGATAGAGATACCCAAGCATTGTATCAAAGAGTCAGGTCCCCTCCAGTCTTGAGGCCCTTGACTGATACGCTTACATGGTACCACCAGTTGGTGTAACTGTTGGACTATCAGTAATGTTATGCTGGTTAGTGGCTTAAGGTAAAATCCCATAGTTCATTCATATCCAAGGATTGAGATTCATTTCACATTTTGAACAACCTATTCGTGAATAGTACATCTCAAGTTATATACATAAGTAAGCAGTTTTCTAAAGGAGACATGTCAAACTGGCATTCGGGTGGGATGTATGGTCCAAAAAATCTGAGACTCTTCAGGACTATTCATTTCTTGGGACTGGACTGAAATGAAGAGTTCTGGGGCCTCTACTGCTACTAAATAATCAAGGAGCCTTGGATTTCTGCCTCAATTTCCTCCTCCCTGGATGGAGATGGGGGGGGTGTAGAAGTGGCATACTTGGATTAAAAGATTCCCTCCAGATGTAATGCTTCCAGATTCTACTATCATCAGTGAGGAAGGGTTTGATAGAGGAATGGGGAATATGTGGGAAGAAGGAAGATCATGTGCTCTAAATAAACATTCTTTCTGTACACACAGCTCTTCACCTGCAACAACATCTGGTGACATTTCTGTTAGAGACATTCGCAGTGCATCAATAACAAATAAAAAATTTCTATACCCACCTCTATAAAATTAAGAAGTAAACAGTTTGACATTAGTAGAAAGTTACTAAATTTCTTTAAATTTTTTTAAGAAACCACTCAGACTATGTTCTCTACCTTTAACTCTTCCAAAGGAATAGAAGAATGATCATCAATAGCTATTGGCAATTGCAAAAGGAACGCCAAAAGCCAGCTTCACACTCAGGAGAGACCACTGTACCTCCTCATGGTTTAGGGTACTCTGCACGTTCAGAGAAACTTCTCTAGTAATGAACTATAAAAATGATCCCCAAAAGTCCTTCTACTCAATTTTTATCAAACTGTAATATGTACGTAAATGTGTTTTGGGCTTCATAATTTCTCTCTATCCTTAGGTCATAACTATTCACATTTTTATTGTTGAATAACAATGAGCTTATTTGTCAGCAGAATTGCTGAGAAAAAACAGGTAGACTATGTGAATGCTGGTTTCATATTAGAGATTAAGGATTATTATTAATACCCTACATAGAAATATCCCTTACTGAATGTCCATATAAAAGGGTTTTAATTATCTCATAATAACATAATTAGGCTCATTAAGCACCTAATGCTAACTTAGAGATAATTTCATGAAACTTACAAAAAGGCATAAACTTTAAGTAGATAAAAATGCAATAGAAAAGATGCATTTAAAAGAAAATGGTAAAATCCTACATGATGTATTGAATATAAATTAGCTTTAATTGTAGTTTATTGTCAATTTCACAAATAAAATCTAACTCTGCTAGAACATAAATTATAACTTAAAATAATTCATTTCTTCAATGGAATAGTAACCTCGTTTTTCTTTTTTCAAAGTTAAAGAACATAAAGATAATTTCATAAGTTTCTGTATATTTTTTCTAAGTAAAAGTTGTTTTTATTATATCAAGTGTTTCCTTCAAAGGTATGTGGAGGAATAAAAGATAATATTAATAATACTTCTGTTGCTGACCACAGTAAATTATCTCAACATTTACAATTTAAATCTAGCAGTCTTTCACATACATTTTCAGTAATGGTCACTTTTTCTAATGGATAAAATACAGAGTAAATTTAAATCTAGAACTATAAGTTGAAATAGAATGTAAAACAATTATGATTTCTATGGTGTACTATTCTTTCTATTAGACACTAATATATACAAAAAGTACAAAGACTCCACAGAACCAGAAATCACCCTATCTCTCCATTAATAGTATAAAAACTAGTCCTATTGATTAGCCACTTCAATGATTATTGAAAAAGACATCAATAGTTTTTCAACACTATACAGCTACAGCCAAGAAAAACTTTAGAAATGAAGCAATGACTTAGATTATTTGGTAACACAGTTAACATACAAGTATATCATTTAAGATTTGCTAGCTATATGTAACACAATGCCCTATTAAAAGTACTTTAAGAAATAGTCATTTATTGCCTCAACAAGAACTTGAGTTAGGCAGTACCATGGTTGATCTGGTACCTTTATAATGTTTGTTCCTCTCTTCTGTTCCGCCATCATTTGGTATGTTGGTGATATTCCTGACTAAGGTTTTCAGATGACAATAGCAGCTGTAAGTATCATGTCTTCATAGGACAACTTTCAAATGAATACAGAAGTCTTCCCATGTGTCAGGGCCTTTCAGCAGACTCCTAGCTATCTTACTGGCCAAAACTGCTTCACTTATCCAATTCACAAACTAATTATTGGCAAAGACAATTGAGATTGCCATACTCACTTAAAAAATATGGTCGGGTGCCCTTTTTCAGAAAAAAATACTGTACCATACCTGAGAAAATTTTGCCTTCTTTAGAAAAAAAGGAAGGGATATGACTGTAGAAAAAGAAACCACTAATATTTGCCAGAATAAACACACTAAATATTAATGCAATTTTTCACCTGAAAAACCTGATAAAATTCTGATTTTTAACCAATTCTAAAAGCATAGAGGCTAACAGGGGAAATTACTCTCTCCTCCTAGCAGTCTGAGGCAAGTTTCATTTCCAAGCACCAAGCGTAATGCCTGTCACTCAGTGCCTGTTTGATGAACACGTGAAAAAGTTCTCCAATTGTAGATTAGCTTTCTCTAATAATGACATTGCAAATGCAGAGGACTAGTTCACATTTCTTAAACAAGGCACCATGGGGATAAACTAGTAATGATAAGTATCCTAAAGACTCTGTAAGGCATGGTATTGAAAGATGTCAGGGGAACTCCGAAGTCTTTTATCCTCTGTGAAAAATAATAACGTCAAGACAACTAATTGGATGTTCTCTCAATGTTATTAGTATTAGTATTATTTATTAGTATATGTTATTGAGATGCAAATAGTATTTTATAGTTAGTTCAAGGAGCAAAGACACAAAACAAATGTGGTAGTCCTCTTTTATAAGATATTTAGCAAAAGGAATAACTTTTAAAGTATGTAAATAATATTATAACTGGTATACAATAATATATACACAATTTGAATGTGTATAACACAATTAGGGCATTCTATGCTCAGAAAGAAAAGAGGACTAAGGAGCATGAAAAATTTGATAGCACTGTAATCAATGACCAGATCAGATATGCATAGTTAGGACATAAGCAAGTTCTGAGAGTTCCTGCCAAGATGGAGGCATAGGTAAATACACTTCATTTCCTTGTACAACCAAAAGAAGGATAACAACCAATTTACAAAAACAACAGAATTTCCAGAAAATCAAACTGTAGGGAAGTCTGATAACCAAGGAGTTAAAGAAGAAACATTTATCCAGATTGGTAGGAGGGGTGGAGATGGGCACCTGGGGTGAACACCCACAACAAGTCAGCAGCTGGCAGTCCAGGCAGGTGAGGTGGTGGCTGGCAGACCAGAATATCCTACATTCACATGCAGGAAAGCTGGGAGGAACAACTTGGGAGGAGACAGTCCACACAACCCAGAGTTATAGTGTGGGAAACTAAAGCCTCAAAACCTCTGACTGTAAAAATATTGTGCAGTTGCAGCATCAGAAACTCCCAGTCTCACAGGAGAGTCCATTGAAGAGGCACAAAAGGTTGTAGAACACACACAAGGCTACCACCTGGGAATCAGCACCTGAAAGGGCACAGCCCACTTCTGAGAAATGAGGGAAGTGGCAGAAATTGGGGCAGGAGCTGAGTAAGCTAGCAAGCAGCATTGTTCCTTCTCTGATCCACATACAGTGCCATAATCCCACCCTGGTGAATGCCTAAGGCTCTGCCCTTTACAATGTAACAGGCTTGCCTAAACAAATATATACAGCCCAAATGAAAAAACAGATCAAAACTCCAGAGAAAGAACTAAGCCACAAGGAAATAGACAACCAATCACATGCAGAGTTCAAAACAAAGGTAATCAGGATGCTCAGAGAAATGATTAAGTATGTTCACAAAATGAAGGAGAAAATAAGGCTACACAAAGGAAAATAAAGGAAAATATACAGGGAAACAACAGTGAAGGGGAGGAAACTGGGACTCAAAGCATCAATTTGGAACAAAAGGAAGAAGTAAACATCCAACTGGAACAGAATGAATAAATAAAAATTCAAAAAAATGAGGAGAGGCTTAGGAACCTCTAGGACAACTTTAAATGTTACAATATCCAAATCAGAGGGGTGCCAGAAGGAGAAGAGGCAGAGCAAGAAATTGAGAACTTATTTGAACAAATAATGTAGGAAACCTTCCCCAATCTGGTGATGGAACTAGACATGCTAGTCCAGGAAGCTCAGAGAGTCCAAAAAAAGCTGGACCCAAGAAGAAACACACCAAGGCACATTATAAATTACCCAAGATTAAAGAAAAGGAGAGAATCTTAAAGGCAGCAAGAGAAAAGGAGACAGTTACCTACAAAGGAGTTCCCATTAGACTATCAGCCAATTTCTCAAGAGAAACCTTACAGGCAAGAAGGGGCTGGAAATAAGCATTCAAAGTTGTGAAAGTCAAGGGCCTACATACAAGATTACTCTATCCAGCAAAACTATCATTTAGAATGGAAGGACAGATAAAGTGCTTCCCAGATAAGATCAAGTTAAAGGAGTTCACCATCACCAAGACCTTATATAAAATGTGAAAGGGACTTATCTAAGAAAAAGAAGATAAAAATATAAACAGTGAAAGGACGACAAATTCACAGTTATTAACAACCACACCTAAAACAAAAACAAACTAAGCGGACAAGTAGATCAGAAGTGGAACCATAGAAATGGAGATCATATGGAGGGGATTAGTGGGGAAGAGGAGAATGGGGGAAGAGGTACAGGGAATAAGAAGAATAATTGGTAGGCACAAAATAGACATGGGAAGGTTAATAATAGTAAAGGAAATGGAGAAGCCAAAGAACTTACATTTGCAACCCATGGACATAAAATAAGGGGAGGGAGAATGCAGGAAGAAGGGGGATTCAGGGCAGAGGGGAATAAAGTGGAGAAAAAATGGAACTATAATAGCATAATCAATAAAATATACTTAAAAGTGTTATAAGCAAGTTCTAATACAGAAACTTAAATAAGGTAGGGGATAAGAACTCTGACTAATCAAAATATTATTTCTTTTTAATTTTTCTTGAAGAAAAAAATGAATTAGAAGTGGAAATGACATTTAAGAAATTCAACAGACTTGAGTTCTGAGAGCTTAAATGTAGATGGAGTAATGGTCAGAATGGTGGAGTAAACACAGATGATTCTATTGCAGCTTGTGTAAAATAACCTTGTTCTTTCTCTTATATTATGCTTCTCTGCCTCTTACTTGAGCTATTGAGATAATAGGGATCATCTCCAAATACAGCCTTTATTTAGTAAAATAGTTGTAATAAGAAGGTGGAGTATTTCATTATCACCTAAAAGCAACGGGATACTGCCGATCAATTAGAAAGTCTCTGTCAAGACATGGCCTAATTTTGTACAAAGGATTGAACTCTTTGTGTACTTGCTAGCATGGAGTAGCCTTAAACCTGGTACCTTTAACTATAGCAAGTTCATCTTTGCTAAAATATATTTCATAAGTTCAAGTTAGCACACTCATTTTAGTACCCCAGACTTCATAGCTGAAGCAAGTAAATGTAAGTAGAAGTTTCAAGGAGGTAATATTTCAAGGAGGTAAAGATTATTTTTTAAACAATTATAAGAAACTCTCCTGGAATAAGAGGGTATTTGAATTTCCCTCTTACATAATGAGAACTGTAGCAGATTTGTTACAATCTGTTACAAAGTGTAGCAGAACTGTTAGTATATTTCATCCTATTCCCACCAGATTTGATTTTAAGAAGTCAAAAGTTTTGCAATGCAAGCCAATTTTC